GGCCCAGCTCCTCGGCGTCAAACACGAGCCACGTCTTCATTATATCGCTCTCAAACCTAAACTCACAATCACTCTTCAGACGCACCGCCCGCGTTTAAAGCAGCAGCGGTTGGGGAAGCTCGTGCTATTCAAGAGGGATGCACTAATGGTACTTGAAGCTGGCAAAAGTGACGATGAGTCTCAGACTCAGTTCGCACAAAAGTTGATGAAGCATGCTGCTTCTTCTGTTGTGAGGCTTAACGAGTCAGCTTCAGCGATACAAATATCCGCTCAGAGCGTCGTCTAATACTTGAATTTACACAGTACTAAGAACGAGGTGACAACCAATCACCTCAAGATCCTGTTATTTACAGCCCAGCTCACCTTCATGGGGCAGCGGTAACAGCTACCAACCAACGGTCCATTTCAGCACAAGGTCATCTGCCTTTCACAACCAGGAAGCGTGCCGCAACAGCGACCCTGTCTATTTAAAGGCCGAGGGTACGCCAGGTATCACGCATCCATGGCACTAGTGCAATCTTGACAAAGTGGAACCTCAAAAAGCCACGAATTCTTAGATTGAAGATAAGCCTTCAGCTTGACCAAATACCGGTAACAGGCCTGGTATATCCGCCGGCCCACCAACGTTCCACGTGATCTGGGCAGTTCCTTGGTCATCAAGCAACGCAGCGAAAGTTGAGCCCCCCCGCAAATGATTCTTGTGAACTCTCTCGTTTGTGGTAGCACGTGAAAAATTTTCGGGAGTAAGACGTGCGTCCGCGGCTGGGATGGACCAGATATCGGATTCGCTGTCTGGGTTTTGCCATCGCGCTACTAGGCTTGAGGCTCACCCAGCGGTTTTAAATTCCTTGCTGCTTTGGAGCTAAGGGAACCTCGGCTACAGTGGAAGATAGAGACATTGTTTTGCCCGCAAGAAATTTTTAAAGTCCGGCTGGTTCGCAAGAGCAACATCGGTTTACGGCTGCAGTAAGCTCGATTAGAACGTTGGAGATGTTTGCATTCTTGTCAAGACAATAAGAGTATACATCAATTTTTCTAGCTACGACCGTGAACGGTTGGCACAGTAGCAACGTATTATCTGCAGAATTTGCGTGTGTAAAAAATGTATTCAGTAAAAGCTTTTTGTCCGCAACATATTTGTGTGTGTGTTAGTCTAACTCTCACATTGGCGTGTTGTTATTGTTCTTATCGGACCCTGCGCATGACGCTCAATCGCATCGAGATAAAATCATCTATGTCGCTATCTGGCGGTGGCAATCGTCACAAGGGTTTGTAAGTCGTTTATGCAGAATGAAGTAAAGCCTATAGGTACATATATTTTGACATGCGATTTCGATGAACGGGTGCAACTCGAACCAGCACCGCTATCTTTCCGCGCTAGTGTTTCTGGAATTTCTACCTCAGTGTGATTCACGCGTCGCTGTTGCCATATACCTACGAATGGTCAGCGGTTTACACATTCCATCTAGGGTCAAGAACCTATACAACGTTTGCCAAAACTTAGCTGTACAGCGGAGATCTGTATCCAGTACAATGGTTACCGGTAAGGCACGTTGACATAACCTTTTCTTTGATGAACAGCTTGGATGTACCCTCATATTGCCGAATGCAGCGAGATGAGTCGTCTTGCTAGAACGATCCACAAAGTTTACAATTATGGTATTATAAGACGCGTCATTCAGACTTCCATATGCTGTCAAAACCGACGGGCTAGCTAAACAAACCGCCACAAGCGACGAGAGTATAGTCCGTTGACACTAATACATAGTGCTCACTGAACGATATTTCTTCTCTCCCAAATACTATCGAAGGTGGTATCGTGTGCCTCGTACAGTATTTTGTACCTGAGGTTCTCGTCATGAAGCACCACTATACGCTGAGTCAATGCTGTAACAAGCCTCGTGGTTAGATATCGTGGGGCAGGCGTGCAACTGCGCGCTTCGACAAGCCGTGTATCCGTGTATAATACTAAGACTCCTTGGTGAAAGAGCTATCAGCAAAGCAACACATGTTGCGTCACACCGGTACGCTATAGTTATCGCCTGGTCAATCGGCGACGTCACGATTGTGAGATGTGACGGAGCGACACGGCATTTGCCATCAAGTACAGTCGACATAACTTTTACATTACATCATAGGTATATTCAGCAGTTAATATTGCTCATAAAACACAATTTCAAAGATGTGGTGATGACGTCGCTGTGCGTAACAACGCAAGGTCCACATAGATGACAAACGGCTGAAAGGAAAACAGATGCAGCCTACCCTTGACAAAGGCATACTTCATTGCAAGTAGCTCCTTTTCACATACATGGTAGCTCGTCTCACGAGCGTACATTGGTCTTTCCCGTCTCAAAACAGATAAACTTGGAAGAGAGCGGTACACAAACATCTTTTGCCGTATCATTCCGGGCCCCTGATTGACTGTCCCTTCAATCTTTCGACCCCTCCTTGAAGCACCTAACAATATCATTGCTGTTCTAGGTCTTGAACGTAAGCCACAGCTTCGTGTTCACGCTAAAGCGCATCTGTTGTCCGGCAGTCGAGTTTTAATGACTCACTAAAATCCTGATTTCTCGACTTTCGGTCGGCAATTTCGGCGTTCCAATCACTCTATAATCTGGATGAGATCAAAGCTTGAACCATACCTAGAACGAGAGAGCGTTTCACGCTGTCAAATACCTTATACTTGAGCTCCAAGATAACTTTCGGTAAACTTAGCTGCGGCTTTGCCGCAAGTGTATTTGACAGCCTTGGCGCATCACCAACCACTCCTAGAGCATAAAGCTCGGAGTACTCACCGCTGTCAGGAAAAAAACACTCGCTCTCATGAGCAACTAGTAATACTCATCGACCAAGTCGAGTGCACTGTACTTCGTACAACCTACACACAAGGATTTTCGGCGCCGTGACGCATGTCCCCGTCACTAAGCGAAAAATGACGATGTCACCCAGTTGCGCCTTCAGCGTCTCAGCATACAGCTGACATTCTTCCATCGTGAAGCGCCAAGCTTGACTGCCCGACACCTCGAAGTCGATCGGAATCTTTCACGGCTTCTCAAAGCCAATCACGGCCGCTTCCACGACCAGCAAGTCCGGCTTACATACTCGTTCCGTCTTCAAAAGTGCGAAGCTTTTCAAAGCTTGGCCCTGCTGCCCTCTACCTCATTGAGGTTCAACAGAACTTAATTCTTCCCCGGTAGGGCGCCCTGCGCCAACTGGGTTTTTGCCAACTCAAGAAGCGGGAAGTCGACTCGATGAACCCTGAAGTGCCTTGCGCATGAGACAATTAATCCGAAGGTGACGGTTGTCTTCACATGTTAAATGCCCAGCAGCTGGGATATCTGCCTCCTCTTCCTCAGCTTAGCTGAAATCCAGCGGCTCAGGCCCGCTCGACGAGCTGCTAGAGTGTGCAATCCAACCAAGTCGTGCCATATCAAAGCTGAATATACCATTCAATGCCACATTCACCGCTTCTTCAAAAGAAGTCGGGTGCACACGTAAGGCTTCCATTCTGGCCAAGCCAGAGTGGATGCCTTTCATATATACGGCCACTGTGACCGCCTCAGGAAAAGGATCGGCTGCCGGCAATGAGAGTACGCAACTCGTGGACAAAGTCCACCAATTCTTTCTTGCTCTGTCGGGCGGCAAGGAAACGCGATCGCAAGCGATTGGCCTGGTTAGGCGGCGAGAACACTCGTGAAAGCTGATCCTCCAGCCCGGTCCAGGAGGAAAATCCGCATTGGCTGAAATGCCGCACGTCAGTGCCCATTCTCGCTCTCGACCAGCGAGCTTGGAGATAGCTAGCGCCACGCGTAGTTGCTTGGTCTAAAGCATGGCGGATGCCATGGCCATCTCGACCTCTCTCACCCAGAACAGTAGATTCTCTCCATCCTTGCCCTCGAAGATCTTAACGTTAACCATGAGCGGCTTGAGTCGGAGGAGTCATCCGTTGTCGACGGTGGCTTCATTGACGTAGCCGATGCCGACATTTTCTGCTGTAGGTGATCTAGCAGAGCCTTTTCATTGCTTGAAAACGCCTCTAGAAACGTGCTGCTTCGGGTTCTCGAGGAGCGAGGTAATTCACGCCCTCAGGGTCAAGCAGAGACATCGGCTTTTTGAGCCCGTCATACATGCACTCGGGCAAATAAGAGAACTGCTCCATATTCACAGAGGGTCAGTCGTCACGACCCAGGTGTAGATTGACTCCAAGTGGTACCAATTGCAGCGGGGTTGCCGTAACTCTTTCGCTTAGAGGAAGCTTGGTCAAGGTCTGTGGCCTTATTCCTATACTTAGAACCAGTACGTGTGTAGCAAAATCCACTTACTCCAAGAGTAATTACAACTTTAATTCAAGTCTAACTAACTCATCCGTTTAAAATGTAAACTGTATTTCTCGGTTTTATTTGCGGCAAAGCCGCCTATATCTAAATCTATAGGCCTCTCCATCTATATTGTAAAACCTAATCAAGTGTATTAATGCTGGCTGTTTTAGCCACGTATTGACTCCTTGTTTAAGTGTGTTTGGTCTCATCATCTTGTGTGACTCACACCATTCATACTAAAGCACATGAAACCCTGTTACAGTGTTGAGCTAAGGCGTTCGTGGCAGTGGTCTAGTCCCAGCTATTGAACGGTCAGCCGTGAATTATTCAACTTTTAAAGTCACTAGTCGTATCGCCGTAACCTTGTGTTGTCATCACTTGTCCATTGAATGCATTTGATGGCGCTATCGCAATCGATCATTGTCTTACCTTTTCTGATAATGTCGAGCATATCTTTGGCATTTTGCAAGGCAATTCCGTATATAAGTCTTTTGTTTCCTGGTCATGGTTAGTACGCATATCGTCGATTCAGCCTCGAGCTTTCCTAAATCGAGATACTACCTTGTGTACGGGACTTCATGTTTCGATAATGACCCCAATTTAGTAGCCATGAACATTGTGACCAATCATAAATCAATCTTTCGCCAGATTCTTACAGTAACAACTCAAGTTACAATGGACACCGTCACCGAGATGGTACCGTGTCCATGTCGTGTCCTCAGATCCAAAGCAAGGAAACCTCTAATGCATCATATTATATTGTTGTTTTGTGCTGACCACAGAGTCCAATTTTGAAAGAGAAACTCAATGATGTTCTAAGCAGGTGCGGCACGACAACCTTATCCTTCACTAAATATCGTCTATCTAAGTACATTCAATAGATATGACGCGCTAGAGGCCATTCTGGTGTGTACTTCTGAAGGCGTACCTTTGCTTACAGGTGCGTCCTACATAATCAATTGTTTGCCTTGCTTTATATGCAATTTCATATGTTGTGCGCTGTAGTTTCTGCCGAAGAGGAGTCGGAGTTGTCGTACGAGTGCACTGAGACCGTCCTCTCCACAGTTTTTGCAGGAGCAGCTGAGCAAGTGAGATACTAAATTTGTGAAAAAACGGACTTTGGCTGACAGATCGTGTAGGTTGGGAAGCTCAAGCTTGGTGCTGTGCAGACTGTTACCGCCTTCTTTGACGACGTGGTGCTCATTCACATCAACCACGCTCCACTTGTGATCACTCTAGTCGCATCGAACTCGCCGCAAATTGGAGCACTACAAGCTTTGGCAAACGAACTGCGACCGGCGCTCACTCCGCTTAAAAAATGCGTTGAGAGTGCAGACGTGCATTAGTACATATCTCTTTTATGAAGACTGTTAAATTTCGCATTGGTACTATCTATTTCTTAGTTAATGTGTGTTATTTCATGAAGTAATGTTACATTTCGTCGACCGTGCCTTCACTTGTGAATTGATTCGGACTGGCGTCTCGTCATTGATACGTATCACCGTGAGTCACGAGCATCGTTTGAGGATGTTCTGGAAGATGAGTGACGGTAATGTCAAGAGGGGTGACCATATCATCCGATTGCGTTTCTGTGCTATCATCAACTGGAATAAACGGTTCATTCTCATGAAGAGAGTTCGGAGTGTTTAATTCAGTGCCACTGTGCTCAATTACGAACGAATTCGGACGACTTGGTGTTCTCAGTCTGGGTTTCATGTCCTCACGAGTACCTTCTTGATTATCCTGCATCAATGGTACCTTTTCAACAAACTCTTCGAGTTCAAGACTGTCGGCAGAAAGCTTTTTAGTAGAAAGGATATCCAGTTTGATGCACTGCCATTCCACACGTACACAATTCCAAACAATACGACGTGCGACTTCAGCAATTTGGGAAATGAGTTTAAAATGAACACCACGATGCATCCAATCCCACCACTTGGTCACCCACATGATACGGAGTACAAAATCCAGTACGATAATGACATAATAAATTTTTCGTGGCCGATAAGTTAAGTGGTGACGCAAGAAGGCAATTCTTCTAGGCAATCGAGGCTGACCAAGACCCCAATCCATGACGACATCCCACAGAAATGAGTAAAGCGAGTTAAATACTGCACAAAATAAGAAAAAGCTGCTCCGCTCCGGTCGCGCAAGCCCTCGTAGCATGGGATACGCTCCGGCTGAAATGACCAGCAGACTCGAGCAGTATTTCATGGTATTTAAAAGGTGAAGAAATCGATCATTTACACTTTGCGTCCGTTGGAATGAAATTAAACACTGTGTCGCTCGAATGCTATTTCCCAAACTCCAGATATCAGACAATTCATTCAGTAAAGGACAAAATGGTCACTTACATGTACGGTGTACTTGCTGCAAAGTATGGTAATGGTGACTCTTTGAGTTTGGACATATACGATTCTCGCAAGTCTTCCGGATCGCTGTGGAATGACATTAATAACAACAAAAGCCCCACGGACAAATCCTGAATGAATTTCGATAGTGATGTCATACCGTCAGCTATAAACACTTCAATGAAAGGCGTTGCATGTGGTGGCAATTTAAAAGAAAACTGCTGAAATGGCCAGAAACAACGTGCCAATCTACGCAGTATAAACATCCGAAACTTGAAGTGCAAGATATCAAGCGGACATAAGAGTAATGTGGCTGCAATAGCGACATAACCTAGTAGCAAGATTTCCATGTGTGTTTCATCTACTCCAAAAGTATCACCACGTCTAGATGCTTCTCCATTGAAAAGCAAAAATTGCAATAGAAACATAAAGACAGCCGTCTTGAACACTCCACTAGCTGTCGGCACTTCGTCTGATCGCATGTCCATCACCCGGTCAAATGCTAATTTGTTCTTATTAAATATATGTAAATTTATTGCTATTCCGAGCAAAAATGTGTTGACAGCAAGCGGTCCGCATACAAAGAACCACGTGTTGACATGATATGGCGCTGGTAGTTGCTCCTTCATCTCCAGACTTGACTAACGGTGTATTATTTGGGGTTCCGAAAGACATGGGATTGGTTAGTAAAAATAACATTATCAGCTACGATTGGATAAATTAGAAACTGAATATCTGAGGACGATTGGAATTATTACGTATAATTAATTACTTGCGCACATGAGTAGCATGAGCCTTATGAATAAGCTCAATCATACTCGTATGGATATCTCCCTTGTTATTCGACACAATAACGTTGCGTGTACGAAGAGTATAAGGTGTTCCATCGCTATTGGTTACAGCACCACCAGCCTCTTTAACCAATAAAGCACCAGCCGCGAGATCCCATGAATTTAGATCAAGCTCATAAAATGCCTGCTTACAAGTAAATGAGTGAAGAAATATTCCATTAGAAATATTTACGGTGCAACGTACCGTTTGGCGTCCAGCCGCCGTCCATGCGAGTTCAATAGCTGCAGCACCTTGTAAACGCAAGCCTCGACATTTAGCTGAAAACTCGCGGACACAGTCCAACATGGGCAATCTCACGCTCTCTTTCGTTCCAATACCAAAACCTACTAACGCTTCGGAAAATGACGTCTCGTGACTTACGTGTATTGGCTGCTCATTTAGAAATGCTCCCTTGTCCTTTTGAGCTGTAAAGATCTCATCCCGATATGGATCGTAAATAACACCAACCACGACTTCACCTTGATGTGCACAGGCGATAGATACAACGCTAGCAGGACGATGGTGTACAAAGTTTGTCGTACCATCAATTGGGTCTACAATCCAAAGCCACTCCTTGCTCTCCATGTCACTCAATGCGCGAGCTGAAGCCTCGCTACCGGGAGCAATGTCTTCCTCACCTAGAAATTCATGGCTTGGAAAATTCTCACTAATGATGGCAAACACAAGATCCTGACACTGTTTATCCACGACCGTAACTAGGTCATCTTTGCTAGATTTGGTCTTTTCTATTCGTGATGATACTAAACACGATTTCATGTGAGCACCTGCAGCGCGTGCGGCCTTTGTCGCCACATGTAACATCGTCTCGACGTCGATGGTCTCAATAGACATGATGCTAAAGAAGAAGTCAGCAACAATCAGGATCGCGTTTGTTTGTGAGTGACGCTTGCCTTACTATTGTATACAGCGCACATACAGACAAACGACACAAAAAATTGTAGTCACTTTGTGCTAATGCTAATATTTAAGTATTTGTGACTTTTTTAAATCCAAAACTTTACGGCATAATTCATAGCAAACTTTATCGACATCAACATAATGAGCCTTCGAAGAAAAAGATGATACTTACTCCTTTTTTTTGAATCTGAGGCAAAGATGGAAATCTACAGACTGTTTGTTTGATAAAACCCACAACAAGGCAAGTAGTATCTCGATTTAGGAAAGCTCGAGGTCCTGAATCGACGATATGCGTACTCACCATGACCGGGAAACCGTATGCATCTCACAAAGTCGTCTGTTTACAACACACGATGTAGCCCCTCTCTGACGTAATACAAGACTTGTTGGGCAATATTCGCTGGCAAATGTGGAAGCGAGATTCTCAAAATTTTCACGATACAAAGCACATTGATGAGCACATATCTTTCCGTAAAAATAAGATGGTCATGCCGTTCAATCAGCAGAAGTTGTTATGAGGCAATTACTTTAATTGTACTGAATCCTCAGACTCTTAAACAGATGAAACAATTGCAATACGTAACACATTTCCCTTATTGTATTGGAAGGATTCATAAGAAATGGGATATCGGCTTTGATGAAGATTGCGGGAAAACAATACGTGGTCTTCTGGCTGCACGTTGTAGATAACGTAGATATTTGGTTTTTGTTTGGATGTTTGTCCTCTTGAAATAGCAGAACGAGCGAAGACTCTAATTTCACTCTTCATAAAAGCGCACAAGTCCAACCTTTGCGAGCTTGTCAACGCGGACTCCGAGTACAGAAAAATTTTCTGTGCGAAGTGCCCGGCGATCCCGTTGCACTTGGGAGCTATTGTAGTTGGTCCCACAACCGAGTCGTTAAAAGACTGTGTCTTCTGCGAAAATGGAACATTATATGTTTGAATAGCTGCCCACAGGACACCACAACTGGCTTTACAACCTATTGTCAACCTAAGATCCAATGGAATCTCGGAAGTGGTGGCCAAAGAAGAGCGATAATTGCTCACCTGGAAGCACTCGTCAGCTTTGATAATGCTCTGGTGAAGAACATCCAGGGACATCCCAACCGGGCGCTGGTGAAGGAACAGTGGCTCCCATCACGTGATGGCTAAGGCTCAGCGTCCGGGACTTTGGGAGCGATACGGACAAAATCTCTTCCTGTAGATGAGGGACAATGAGATAGTCATAGCTTTGGTCTTGCTCCAACCAGAGCGACAGTACGTCGATCCTCCTGCCATCTCCAAGCTGAGAGGTTCACACGAATGAATGGACGCTAGCGTGCAATACTTGGAGAAAGTGACGCATCTCTTGACAATAAATTTGATGTGATACATGTGGCAGATGTCAGCGCCGCCCAATCAGGCGTATTTGGTGCGTTCGTAGTTCTTATCTGTTTGTCAAGGGATGTAGGAGCTGTTGAGCTATGCGGTTTAGTCTGGCAACAGCTGCGGCTTGCACCGAGATCTTTTGCGCTCATACTATTTTGATTGAGTAAACGATGGGCATCGCATTTATTCTGTAGCCCGACTTCTGTGCCGCGAGATCAGGACGGTGTTCTAGAAGTGCAAGCTCTACGCACACGCTAGATGCGGAAGTACAGAAAATTCACTCATTGTGTTTTCCGCTCGCTATCGACTGAGAGGTACAGAAAGTCGGGCTTCCACGCAAGAGCGAACGTCGAGCCCATCAAGTGGAAATGTCAAGTCTTTGTAGACACAGAACGGGCTGCTGAGAAATACTGGGTTATAGCATACCTCATGGTCGTTGAGGTCAATGTGATCCAGACCTTCCCACAGCCCATTCTTTTTGGCAAAATATATGATTGCCCGGGCTATGTGTAGCAAAGCGAAGCTCTGAAAGATTTTTCAGCGTCGCGCAATCACTTCGTACGACGCTCAATATAGTAGATAGTAAGCAAAAGCATAAAATACACCAAATGCGGTACGAAATCTGTGTCTATTGCGACGTTGACGCTGAAAAAGTGTCGAAGATTCTGGTGAATATTTAATTAATAGTTGAGGACTTTGACAGCGTGGAAAGCTGTCTAGTCCTAGTCTCAGACTTGAGACATGATCTCATTCTAGGCACGGCGCGGCTGGTGCGATATGAGTCATGGCTTAAAATAGACGTCAAAATTGTCAGGTGCATCTAACCGCTCACTTAATGGAGCTTGGCAACCCACACAAATGCATCTTTTGTGCTGCTCTAGGCAGTCTGGTTTGCGCGACCGACCATAGGGTTTTTTACCAGCAACCTTTATTATCATTGTCTTCCCTATTCTACGAATGCTTCTCTTCTGTATGTCGTGATTCCTACAGTGTATCGTTGCCAAGACGGCAAAGAGCAGCTATTTGCCGTTGTGTCCTGCGCCAGGGTCGGCGGAGAGGTGAAGTAAATGGGCACCGCAATCTTCCGTGGTAGAGCTGGAGGAGTTGAAGGGTAGAAGAATCAGGCTTTGATGATGAGAAGAAAGTTTCATTCTTCCGACGATATGGCATCACCATCATTGTGTGACAGACCCAGGACGGGTGTGTAAACATTTTTTTGCTTGGTAATGGAGTGTCTGGGGTCTTACTAGAGATTTAAATATCCCTCGCTTTCTTGAGCAAAAACACTGATAAAAATGAAGATGTCATCCCTTAAATTTAGTGCAATTGTACTGTATTGTATTTGATAGAATTGAAGGGTCGTTTTTGTGTGACGCAATTTTTTATTTCAGTAGTCACGTCGATGTAGCAGTGCACTCCTCTATTCGAGCATAACATACCTGATGGATCGCACGTGCTCAAATCGTAATATAGCTCCAACAAAGAATTATGAATTCTGCAGGGTCATTAAAAAAATAGATGCCCTACTTTTCGCACTTGTTGTTCTGCGAATGATCTCACTTATAGTTTTGGATGACAAGTTTATCTCCTCTTTTGATACTCGCAATATCATTTTGATGATTGCACCGTCGCTGCAATTTTATTGTGATTGCGAAAAAGTCCTGAAATATGGTATCTATGGAGATGATGGTAAAAAAGGGGTATGATGTACATGCAGGCTGCCAGACGCACGTAAGAAATAACGCAAGTTTATTGAGAAATCAAATGAGCACATAGTATTGGTCTAAATATCATTCAATTAATTTTATATTCTTGGAATGGCAACGAGCTTAGCAGTAATAGTTACCTGTAAGTCCACCCTGGATGGAAATGCACAAACTCAATCCGCACGTTTGCTAGCGTGAACGCTGATAATAAAACCTTCTACTCTGCAAAGCGCACGATTACCTTGGTGTAGTTGGTAGCACTGATAGCCAACTCTACGACTGAGTCCAAAGAGGACTATATCCTATATATATGGAACATGAATCAATTCTTTAAAATAACTAAATCAGCTCAGCAAGTGTGTCTCTTTCATCTATCCCGACGGGGTCAAAAAACAGTTGGCCAAAGAGCCGAATGCGCGAATCGAGCAGACGAAAGCGCTGACCAGTTGTGAGATTGCGCTGGTGAGACACACCTATGAGCACCACCACCGACGAATATAAGATAATCGATGGTACCCACTGCAAGGTCACCGATGCCGATCGGCCTAGCTTTTAGAGACATGATAAAAAATGCTCCCTCTGGATATGTGAAGTTAGGTAGGCCATGAATTTTGCCATGCTAAACGAACGAAACATCAGCGCGTCGCGCTTGCAGGTTTTAAGCAAAGAGGCCGCGGGTAAAGATGGGCACTTACATTCAGTACTTCTATAGAATAGGTATTCTCGATTCGGAGAGACTTGAAGCGATATATGCCGTGGGAGTTTGCACTGACTAACGAGGCGTATCGGTTACGTCGACATTTCTTGTCACTTCGTCAAGTTCCTTATGAACTGGCGACTATGCCCAGGAGTTAAGAACTCTTATCGCCGCGAAGCGTCCTGCTCTCTCGGAGTTGATGATAGTTACTATCTGTATGATAAGTTTTCAAACTGTTGCGGCTAGCCCCGAGAATAGAGCGCCACCCTGCTAAATTTCGCGCACAAAAAGTGTATCGGGATTTGTACCGTGTATTGTTGTGCTAACACTAGTACAACAAGCGAGATGAGTGGTTTTGTTACCAATCGCCCCGAGAGGCAGAGGTGCAACGATTGGAGGCTGTCCATAGGGCGGCTCTCGCGAGCTCGTCTCCACTTCGGTCCTAGACCCTCGTGTGGAGTACGACAAAGCTTTGTCTTAAAGACAGCAAAAACCTGCTTGTGTAGAAAGGTATTTAGCATTCAATAACACAAGGTTCCCGAGCCCAAAGCTTTCAATATTTCTTTCATCTGTATATTCTTTCTCTTGGCTATTTCATCGAGGAGTCCCAAGCATGATCTGTGTAGATCACAAACGGCTTTGAGCCAAGCAGGTACATCCTGAACTTGACAAGTGCACTTCCTTTCTCTTCTCTACTTCATTGCAAGTAATTCTTTGTCATGGACTAGGTTGCTCTTCCCCGCGGCCTTAACCTGGCGAGATTCGATCGCGACCACCCGATTTCGCCTTTCGGCGTTTGCTTGCGCCAGTGCACAGCCGATGGCAATCCCGAAGCTTCACAGACGACGATTGGAGTCTGGCAACGCCAGTATTGGTTCATAAAAGGAACTGTCTTTTTTCCTGTCCCAACACCATTCCGCATCCTTCCCAAAGGAGATCCAACAATGACCGTGCCATTTCTGCATGATTCTTGCTATATTTGTGCAAGTAGCTGGTGAGGCCAAATCATTTGCGCAATTTCTTTTGGTTCTATGGAGCCAGCTAGTCAACAATGGCTTTGCCCTTAGCAGGATCCGATCTCACGCCACGGTTCTCAATAAAGCACCCTGAAAGGAGCGGATTTCCTGCGCGCCGAAGATGCACTTATCGACAGTGGTATACAGCTTATTCGTGCGCATGCACTCGAACATCGCTCTCAAATGGACGATGTGATTTACATCATCTGTCCTCCCGTGCCCCGCACGACTGTAGACGAAAATGTCGTCGAAGTATTTATGTGCATACGCCCGGTGGGGCCTGAACATTGTGTCACAAGACGATAAATGCTGCTGGTGCATTTGACAGCCCTTGGTATATCACCAGCCACTCCCAGAGAATCCCGCTCAGAGTACTCACCGCTGTCATCGAATTACGACTCGCTCTCATGAGCAATCGCTAGTACCCATCGAACACGTCGAGTGCACTGTCCTTTGTACAGGCAACTATATTGGTTTGGAGAACATCCTTCCTAGAAATCGGCGTCTGTGCCGAATGGTAACTGCGTTTAGCTTATTGTAAGCATGAACGATACGCCGCTTGCCGTTCGGCGTCCGGACACAAAACGTGGGTGTCGGATGGGGAGACTTGCTTTCACGATTCATTCCTGCGTTGTGCTTCGCGCGGAAAAATGCGTCAATGACGTCACACTGCTCATCGAGAAGGGACATTGTCCGTGTTACGTAGTATCTGGTTCTCGGAACCAGGTCAATCTCATGACGCACACCTCGGTCCAGGGATAGGACCGAAAGCGGGTCTTTGAGGACGACCTCTTAAGACTCCTTCACCAAAGGATAGTACGGATCCGAGGGATCCTTCAAGATCGAAGATCCACTTTGTCAGTTCAGCACCCTCCTAGTATTCTCCAGGACGGCTTCGTCCAGAAGCGACGGCGGGTTAATCTCCTCGTTCTGTCGTATAATGACTACTTCTGCTTAGTAGCCTACCTTCAAGGCACCACCTTTTTTTAAAAGACATCTCGTCCAGTTCAAGTAGAGCATCTACCGCGGGAATAGCCTTGAGGGTGATGTCATCGTCTTCCTTTCCCGTCATATCGTTGACAAGGGTATATAGCTGTAGGCTGTAGTCTACGGCACAGCGTCGCATGGCCTCTCCACAAAAGTTGTACATCTCGGCGAGACCATTGGGGACACGCTTTCAGTTCGTCCAGTGTTAGCCCCACTCCTGCTCCACCGAAGCCTTAATGTTATGAAAACATCCAACGAATAGCTGCTAGCTCCGCAGTCTTCGTCCAGTGGATAACGTGCCACTCCACGTGCATCACTAGGGTCTTGCCCAAGATGCCTCGGGCCTCTCGTCCGACCATGCCACTTTTGGCATACAGCAACTGCGTTGTAACGTGAGCAGTACTCAGTGGATTTCACACCATCTTGTGCGATTCGCCCTTCCTACATGGGTACGTGTAGCCACGTCACGGTTTTCGACTCCTTTACAAATTTAAGTAAGTGGGGGGGGGGGGTTGTTGCGCCGCCGCACCGGCTGCTGATCCTGGAAAATGTCAACCTGGACTTGGTGTAGCACAGCAGTGCACTGTATGCAAGATGTGCAAGTGGATCACAGCAAAGACTAATCAAAGAGATCCTAAGAGACAGAAGTGTCGGGCGGGGTATTGGTATAGTTGGTTGGTCCTTATCCAAGGCAAAACGCGCAAATCAGGAACCTCTTTAATTTCCTTTTATTTAATCAATGTGACATCATCGGCGAAAGTGGAAGCAAGATTTTTTTTAGAGCTCCGACGAGTACCGTGACGACAGGTTGGTCAGTTGCGGTGAAAGGCTGATAAAAGTTATCGTGGTTACAAAAAGAGCGGCATAAAATCACATGCTTGCGCGGGGTTCTCGAAAGCAAATCATGATATGAGCGATCAATACCTAGACGATAACTGGCAACGTCGGTATTTGTGGAGTAGTTTTCGGATTTGTGTAGCGATTTTGCTATTCTTGAAACGTTGGTTCACAATACGAATGGATTATAAAAAAGAACGATATTACATAGATGGAAGAGTATTTATACAGCGAGGTGAAATAGTGATATCAGGTTTACATTTATATTTCTGGTGGGATTGAAAGGCTCTACGATTGGTCATTGTTGTCAGAAATCATTTTTCTATTTGCGGACGTGAGACCGACGAGAGACATTGCGGTACATAAAGCGAATAACTATACTCTCGATTTCTAGTGTCGCCGGAACGAAATTGCGTTAGTATATAACATCAGAGCTTGTTTCTTCAACTCGCAAATTACAGTCGGCTCTATATTCAAATGGAATGCTCGAGAAGCGCGGCCCTATGCCGCTGTGGCTCCATCTCTACCGAGTTTAAACCTACAGAGCCCGACACAAGGCCGATTTTTGCCGCACTGTAAATACATCAGAGAAACACTCTGAAGGCCGCGGCTGGCGCTTCCCCCGAGCTTAGCTCAATGCTAACAACAAAATTAGTATTACTTCGCACGATTTCCTTATAACTACTACAGCTTTGTGCTCGCTTCCAAACGTTTATTCTTTGTAGCAGAGATGTGCTCAAGACTCACCAAAGTTCTGCTATAAGAAAAGTGCGTGACACTCAATGTTTTTACTTTCGAGTCGATCAATGACTTGTGGTATCAAATCAAACTACACCAAGGAAGAGATCGTATCTGGTCTGGGATCAAGCGTATTTTCACGCAATCAAATCATCTTCTACAGGAAGGTACAAAATAACCTTGCACTCGTCAACGAGCGTCTCCTTCGCAATACACACATATGGTTTCCGCATTTGATTTCTACGAACCCTACTTGTAATGCTTACTATTTTTCAAATGTCGCCCGCCTGTCGCCCGCCGCCAATGATTGCAAATTGCATTTATATCTATCAGTATTTCTTACGGATTCACTCTGCAAGGGATGTTGATGCTGACAGCCTCCGATTCTGCACTGTGCAAATTACCTCTCTTAGATGTTGCTTCTTTTGGGACAAAACTCTGTTGACCTCTGCTTTCACAAGACACATGATTGCCCAAGTTTTTGCTGGGCAAACTATTGGCGTTCGGTATTTTTCACGAGGATTTGCTGATGGAGGAGAACGTAAAATACAATTGTTTGGTACTACAACTGATATCACGTCCGCGAGTGTCATGGACCTGCTAAGCGTCAATGGTTAAGATTGTTCCCCCTCAGCTTGGCCGAGGTCGGGGCGCTCATAAAGAATCCAGCACCCGCGTCCCAACTGATCTTTTTTGCTTGGAAGCTGTGTTTCGCATTCAATGACACTCACTTAGCTTCCTCGAAAGAGGCTGAGTAAACGCAGAGGCGTTGGCGTACGATACTTACCCTTTAAATTTAGGAGGTCGGCCGCCATCCTGGTCATTATAGCTCTAATCCCCTGTGCATAGTCCGCTAATTTCCACTTTCCTTGATAGGCAGTCAAAATACAAGAATTTCGGTAGTACTCGGTAAGTGATGATAGCACATATATCTCAAAATTCCAGGATGAAAATGCTCCCGCTCACAACCACTTTTCCTATGCAAGGCCTCGTCGCTTGATTGCTGACGCGACGTGCTGTTCCTCAGGTACCAGCAGAGCTGAAATCATAGCCATATCAACCTCTCGTATCTGGATAAAGGCGAAACTTCTTCCGGCATATTTCATCAAAGGGCTTGACGCTTACCAGAAGCGATCTCACACTATTAGAGCTATTTGAATTTCCAAAAACCTCAGTGTATTAACATTTGAATGCTGCTATGATTGCAGCGAGTACTTGGAGCGCCAGTAGTGCTATCCTCTCGGCACCTTTGAAACGAAAGTTTATTAAGGGCACAGAAAAGTGATCATATTAACTGTTCCGCCATCACACAGAGACAATCGCGTTTACACTCGGTCGTTTGATTGACAACAAGTACTACCAAGTGCAACGGGATCGTAGCGCACCTCGTACAGAGGAAGTTTGACTTTACGAGGTTTCATAAGCCAACAAAAACCATTCTCTTCGGGCACCCCTCAGGTACCGAACTAAGAGCCTCGCAAGGAATTTGTGACGCTGAGATAGTTTCAAGAGTAGCATATATGTGATTACTGCTAGCCACCGATTTGACATAAATCTGCTTCACTATATCATCCAAACTATATAACGCATTGCGTGAAGCTTTCCGCTCGAGTGCCCCGCAAACCTCACCTTCTGGAGTACCGTTACCCCAATGACACTAATCATAGTACTTTACCACGGTTATTCTGTGTATCAGATGATAGTTACTTGAAGCTAACTTCTGGCACTTTGGCGCTAAAGGGTCCTCCTTGCGAAATTATCGCATACGAGTATCAACAGAAGTCATGCGAGTGTACCGAATCTTTTATCGTCTCGAGCTGCCGCTTATTCGCGGTTTGTATTATCGAATCTGCGATGCAATTTGCTGATCAGGACGAACTAATTTCTTTGGCACTCTTCTATCCTTGTATACAATAGTTTCGTAGATCCAGTATCTCGTATCTGGGTGACGTTTATTAAAGGCCTAATGATTCGCAGAGTGCGATTCACAACTCATTCAAGAAGCAGTTGGTTGCAACTATTTCGATAAAGTTTAGATTATATCCAAACAAGTACACGAAGAACGACAAGTTTGCTAGACCTTTCGTTGTTTTTTTGCGGAAAAAGATTCAATCTGAGCAGAAAGCGGTGAGTATTCTTTCATTCATCCAAGTTCATACTTGGTTATCCAAAGAACAAGGAATACACTAAAATATTTAATTTATACGGCAAATGCTGCCGTGTGAGTCGAATAAAATTTATCGATACAGTGTGCAGCGAAGTGGATAATCTTCAGATATCTGCTCCATGTGATGTATCTTGCGCTTTGTGTTATCCCACATAGAGCGCGTGAGCGGTACATTGCGGCCGGACACGGTCGTGGACAATGCGCGTTGACTGTTGATATCCTTGGGAATTTTAACCGGAGGAATGACTCGCTTCTTCATGTAGCTCATGCTAAAACGCTTAAGTTTAGCATTGTGTGTGCGTATTATCTTTTCTTTTAATTGCTGGGCCTCCTTTGGCAGCTCATCTGTGGGCGCATTAAAGTGACGGTGCCAACGCAGACTGTGGTGTTTGCCAAAAGGTGAACCCGTGCGAGGTTTCGTCGCTTTATCATGAACGTATGACTGGCTAAATTGGGGCTGTACTCCCATTATTCTTTGAACAAGACGTTTGGTGTTTGCTGAGGTGCTGGAAGGTTTGAAAATGTCATTATCAAGTGAGTGGGTTTCGACTGCCACGACTGGATCCATAAAACTTGATTGATTGGAGTCCGCTGTTGCCACACTACACAGCCGGACCTGAGTGACGTCGACTGTCGCAGTTGATCGCTGTATCAAGTTCAAGCGCAGTGTTATCCGTTGCTGGTCTTTGTAATACCACTGTGGAGAATATTTGTATAGTTGCTATTTCTAGACATGTTTATCAAGATATTATACTCCCAGTATAACAGAGCAGTACCTGAGCCGCGAAGGATGGCTTTTTGTTATGTAAGGCTCAGATGAGCTTAGCTGGACGCATGTTGCATGACACCTTAGTTCTATGATGGCATAGAAGCTCAAAGTTTCCACTCGCCTCATCGAGTAACTTTCGACTGTCACATTCAGCATCAAGATTTGTGGGCAGAAAAATCATATCGTGATTGAACTTTGCAATTGTCACGCTGTATAATTTTTAATTCAAGAAGAGGAAGAGTTGGAGCCATTAGAATAAATCCAGTGAGAAATCTATTGTAATCACTTGACATGCGCAGTTTCGAAGAAGTTTGGAATCTCAACGTTATAAAGACCCTGAGACAGTCGATGCGTACAATCTTGACGTTTTCGGCTCTGCAACGTGCGTATGATATCGTCCCATCTGACGTATCCATACCATACCATACGACATGGCTATTTACTTTATATCGTTGTCTTTTCGCGTGTTTAAGGTACGCTAGATAAAGAGCCTAAGTGCAGAAGTTCCCATTATAAAGGAGACGGAGCAATATTACGTTTGTTGAGTTCCTTATGTCATTTCTATTCATCATTCCGCCCGCGAGATCCCGATCAAAGACTTACCTTTTCGCATACTAACCGCGTAAGAGACATCAGCAATTGTTGGAGCATTATAGTTGCGATATCATTGGATTGGTCTTTTGCTCATCATGTAATGAATTTGAATGCTGGGAATTTATCTTCTTCGAGCTTTAAGTATCCGAAAACCGCCGCATTGATGATCACGATTCATCTCTAGTATTTATCTTACCCGACTGGAATGAGAGTGCACTCATTCATCAGCCACATAAGAAGCAATAAATTCATCGGTTTGGTTACACAATTTAACGCTAAATCACACTGTTAACGAGTTTCTTAATAACGCATATGAACGCAATAGTATTATTAAATAATCAATATATACTAAACGTTAGTATGATTTTTTCTATTACAGCACAGATCAATAGCTCGGAGTTCTTCTCGCAATGCGACTAATCGAGTTTTTAATTCCTCCGCTTTATCTGATTCAACGATCGTCCCATCGTGCAATCTTCCATACTTTAATACCAATTGAGCACTTTCCGCTTGAATGTCTAAACAGAGCTGCTTCCGACGCTCTTGCAGTTCATCTACACTCATGTGATCAAACTCTGATGATACTGCAGTGGGTTCTTCTTTTTTGATAGAATCATTCCTTTTCAACAAATCGCTTGAAGCTTGACGAAAGTTTCTTGCCACTGGTGATTTTACTGGCGATTGCATCATTGGATATTTCGCTTCATTCACCTCACAACGAAAGCGCGCAAAAGCTTGTAGGAAGGATGCACTGTTCAGCTCTGCGCTACTTATACTCGAACTGTTAAGAAAGCTCAGTAAACTTTCAGTCTCTTGTTCTTTCTCTTCTTCATCAAATTCATCCATTGACGGTTCATCAAAGTTGAATCTTCGAGTAATGACTGGAGTAGAGTATGCCTCTTCGCCGAAACGGACCTGTTTTGATGGCGACGTATTGGATTTATGATCGCTACCGGTGGTTGGAGTAGTGATACTACTACCTGTTGTAGGTGTCCTGTGAATATCTTCTTCAATCGTGAAATAATTCTCTTGATGTGTTACCAGCGTAGTTGCAGTAGGTGATAAACCAGTTGCACCAACAGCATTTGTCTCTGAATCAGGCGAAGTCTCATGAACAAATGAGGAAGGTGCAAGCGTCTCTGCTGTAGTCGCTCTAGAAACTCCAAAGTTCGACATTCTAACATGAATGTTTTTATCTTGATGCGGCGTCGAATTCAAAGAAGAATCCGAGTATACACTTGAGCTAAAGGAATCATTGTCTTGGCTTTCTTGAGGTATACTATGCTCATTATGACAATGATGACATTGTCTTTCGTCCCTTATGGCTCTTTTTTTCTTTTGTGTCGTTGTTTCTTTTTGCAATAACTGGTCACGGATCTGCACGGACTTTTCCAGTTTCAGCATCGTCTCTGCAAATTTAAGTTGGAGCGAGAAGACATCATTCAGTGTGTCTGGTGAGTTTCGATAGCGTGGATAAGTATCAAGTACTGACGTGATTGCAGCGCTCGAGTTATGCATGGAAGCTACGGGTTGATACGATACGTTATTTGTACTAGTCGTCACTTGACGTCGGTGTGAAGAAGACAATGGTTCCAGTGTCACGACTCCACCAATCGAGTATTGATTCTCATCAGTCTTACATCCAATAGATCCACGACTTTGGCTTTGTCTCGAGTCGAGGTCTTGCCTTTCTAGAACATTGCTAGCAACACCTTCTGTGTCTTTCTCACTCTGTCCTAAGATCTCAACACGTTGATGTTGTAACGCTCTACTCGCCGTCTCCCACGCTACTTGTTCGCTTTGTAAATCATGTTCTTGTCCCTTTAATTTTTCGTTTTCTATTTCAAATTTTAATTGCCGTTCTAACTCTTTTCGTCGTTGTGAAGCGGCTGCAACTTCTTGTATTAATTGGCGGCGATTCCAGCGCGTTGGACGACGCCGCGAGTGCCGCATTTCACCATCTTGTCGAGATATTGAACGATGAAAAGTTCGAGTCTCATCAAAGCTTACGAGGTCTACTCCTAGACGCGCTAGCGTGCTCTGTAACTCTGTCTTGAGCGCTTGAAGCTCCACAGTATATGATGGCTGCATTGCTTGAAATTTGAATTAATTTAATAGTAATATGAACGCGGGAAGACAAGAAATTGAAGGAGTACTACTTGAAAGTTTAGAGATTAAATGTTACACAGCGTTGAAATTAATATATGTTGTCTTTATCAAGTTTAAAGGTGCTACACGATTGTAGGGAACGTCTAGCTCTCCGTTGAGACGCTCGTTTCGAGTAAGCTTTTAGCAGCTGAAAACTGCACACTTCGTCACTTTGATTCGAACTTGCAATTATAATCGTGGATAAAATGGCTTGATACCAAATTGAACGACTGTCATGAGTCCAGCACCAATAGCACCTGCCAAAATCATGGTCTTCGGACCAGCTGTTGACTTGTAAAATACTCCTGTGGCTGCAGATGCTAAGATTGGTGTCACTTGATCAAATTTTACAATATTCTCAATCTCTGCCGAGTCCGCAACATATTCAAATGCTTTATAAATCATTGCTAGACGAAATCAGTTCATATACAAACATCAGCATAGAGACGAATGCTTCATACATATCAACTATACCTAGACATCCAAGCGCATTTCCAGCCTTTGATCCACGTGTAGCAGCTCCATTCATAATCGAATTCATCCGGATTTTGAATTTCGTGCTAGGCGAACGCGTGAAACCTCTCACCGCTCCATAAGCGCCACCACCAATGATACCTGAGAAATACGCAGTACCACACGATCCACTCATTTGCTCCATGAAAGGACGACCGGCTTTATCATAATCCAAATAGTCGGCATCATCATCATATGTAGACACACCAAAGACTGGCGCAATGGCACCAATATCGATACTTCCAGATGGAATTGTCGGAAGAACAGGCCATTCAAGGCCATTTGTTGACGATGAGTCAAAACCTGAGCCAGAGGTAGAAGAGTTCGAGTCTTGCCATCGATCGTCTGTGTTCCAACTACTGTTACTCATACTTCTGTCGTTCTAAGTAACTAAGGAGATGACAAAGAATGAATATGAATGGTCAATTAGACTCGTGTAGTGTACATAAAATTGATAGATAAAAACTGCCTTTTTGCATTAAACTGTCCATTAGACGCGCTGGCTACTTCTTACCAAATCTAAATTTTAAATTCAAATAGTATCGTGTCAGCAAGTTAGCCAAAAAATGATCAACTATGACAATACAACACTTACGAGGATTGATCAGTGTCGTGAAGAATGTTCAGCAGCAAAGAATCGGAATTCAGGTAAACTTTGTTGGCCGAGCGTGAAATGACAGTCGCAATTTCCTTGGCAGCATCAAGACGACGTAGCTGGACAAAAGCCGGATTCTTCTTGATTGCTTCACCCACAAGCTCAGCTGATTTTGCAACACCAAGAGCACGAATGACTGTGCTCTTCTTTTCCTGAATAGCGCGCTCGACAATAAAACGAGCACGCTCAGCATCTTGCTGTGCCACTTGCTTAGCTTCAATAGCAGCTGTATACTCGGAACCAAACGTCAAGTGAATAATCGAAACATCTTCCAGCATGATAGCAAAGCGATCAGCACGACGTTTCTACATGAGCACAAAGGATTGTTAACAGTGCAATAACTTTTGTCATATTTATAAATACTACGTACCAGGTTCTCAATAATAAGTCGTGATACATGGTCACGCTGAAAAATGAGCTCAGCAGCCGTAAATTGAGCCACCACTTGCTTAGCTACTTCATTCACAATGGATGGCAAGACCTTGTCATCAAAATCTAATACAAAACGTGCATTAACGACCTAATTTTTTGCGCTTCATCTTGTGTGTGCCATTATACGAACCCGTGCCAAGATTTTGATACAACCACTGTAAACGTGCACGATCCGGCTTGGACAAGACACGGATCGAGATGTTAATCATCTGCAAATCCTTTGTACCCGTAAGCGATGCATAAGTACGCGGACGAGTACGCACATCCATAATCAATGGACGTTGCAGCCATGGAATGACAAAGTGCGTGCCTTGTTCAATAACTTGATGACCCACACCATCAATACGACTGTAAACCACAGCACGATGTCCAGGTGGTACATTGTAAATAGAGAGATACGCTCCATAGACTGCAGCCCCCGTAAAAACTGCAACTTTAGCTAAAGCAGTTGCTGGTCCCTTACTACCAGGTGGCATCTTAATGTTCTTCATATTTTCCATCGCAGCCTTCCCCTTCTCCATCTTGATTTCGTGATACAAAAATCCAAACTTTAATGATTTCCCAGCCACTCACGTTTTTATTCTACTTGAGAGGTTCCCCAATTGACAAATATTCCTAAAATTATCTTAATTGTATTTTATCTCGTACCTTTATTTAAGTGGCTAAAATTCATATCGTATTCCGATTGGCTTAACTATATTGGTGGTTGGCTGATTCAGGAGAAAGACTCGACGTCTCCACTCCCATCGCATTCACCTGAAAAAGAAGTCACGAAAAATGCCAAAGATCTCGCGTCATCGTAATTATCGTAAGACGTACCGTACGCCATCACGTGCGTTTGAAAAAGAACGTTTGGACCAAGAACTCAAATTGCTTGGAGAGTACGGACTTCGTTGTAAGCGTGAGATTTGGCGAGTTCAATACGCTTTGTCCAAGCTACGAAAGGCTGCGCGTGAACTTTTGACGCTTGACCCGAAAGATCCCAAGCGTCTTTTTGAAGGATCAGCGCTTTTACGTCGTTTAAAACGCTTTGGAATGCTTGCTGAAGATGAGAATGAACTGGATTTTGTTTTGCGTCTTAATGTGCAAAAGCTTTTGGAACGTCGTCTGCAGACAAAAGTTTTTAAGCAGAATCTTGCCAAGTCCATTCATCATGCTCGTGTCTTGATTAAGCAACGTCACATTCGTGTGGGCAAACAGCTTGTAGACGTTCCTTCGTTCCTTGTGCGTATGGACTCGGAGAAGCACATTGACTTTGCTGTCACGTCTCCTTACGGCCAAGGACGTCCTGGTCGTGTCGCTCGTCGTCGTGCTGCTCAACGTGCTGCTGCAGGTGGCGAAGAGGATGAAGAATAATTTGGGAGAGCTTATTAGGGTGAGACTTTTTCAAGGTTTTTGACATGGAAGCTGACGCTATGGAGAAGAAAAGAGAGTGTTTTTTTCTCTGGATTCTGACTCTCGGATGACTTGGTTAAATAAAATTTGGGAACTTGTCACTGGGTTTAATACACAGAGACGACAAAAGTTGTGGTCGCTAGCGTCACTATTTCCATGACGTTTGAATATGCAGGTCTTGATGTATTATCTTTTTATAGACACATGTATTTGTCCTCTTGTACTACTTAGTTACGTTTGATATATTCAGTATCATGTCCTTCGCTCTCTCAAGTTGATCTTGAGTTACTCCACGAGGTACTACTTCTGATATTGGTTGAGTCATGTGACTAGATTCCGCATATTCTCGAGTACTGTGATCACATACAAAACATCCTAATGAACGTCTGAGATTTCGAGTTTCAACGCTCTTCCACATGCGCATCTTGTCTTCTAAACATGGTAAATGGTAGCAATGGCCACACTCAAACACACATGCATGAATTGTTTCCATTCCTCGTGTTGATCCACGTAAGAGTTCAGTACAAATGGCACACTTTTGTTTCATTTCAACGCGTCGTCCCCGTTTGTGAGCAATAACTTGACGATGTAATAATTCAATCCGATCATTATCGAATACTTTACGCGATCCAATACATAATTGTTGCTGGAAATAAAGACGTTAAAATTACTATCAAAATCATACACTTATCTGTATACCTGTATCCGGTAGTTAGAAATAATTGCCATGAGTTTCTCCTTAAGGTTAACAATCTCCATATCGTCTGGAATCTATAAAAATCAGTACATATCAATCAAAAATGTCATAAGTATACACGACAATATATTGCTTTCGTACCTTGCGAATCAGCTTAATGGGATCGATCTTGTGTTGAGCAGCAAATGTCAATAACTTTTCGACATTCTCTTTACTTGTGAGACTTATATCAATGAGATAATCCCAAAGACTCTCGTCATGATCCAAAACAAATTGAATCGCTTCATTTATATCTCCACGTTGTGTCAAAATGAGATCAAGCGCTTTCTTGTGCTGTCCCATTCGTCCTAAGATATAAATCATTGTATCCCAAAGTGGAGGATCGTGATCACTGCAATAATTATAAGCCTGTATATGTATGTAATACATAAACGATTAGATATGGAGAAGTTACAATATATTGTACAATTGAACGCACCTTTTCTAATGGTACAAAATTACTCGTTTGAAGAAATTTCAAGACCAACTCTGGAGCATATTGCGCATATAAAGCCACTTGTTTCTCATGTAATGATGCGTACATTTCATTATTGTACTCATCATATCGATGAAGCACAAGTTCGTGTAGATACATATGTAGCATTTCTGGTTCAGTTTCGAGCTGCATGACAATATCTCCAATCTTTAATTGTTCTGTTTGATTCACAAGCATTCGAACAGCCAATTCTTTGTCAATTCGCATGAGATTAACAACTTTTGTTGTCACAAGAGGCCATAAATGATGTTCTGCAATCAATTTGAATGCAAAGTCTTTGTTCGTACAAAATTCGCCTTGACTCAAGTAAATTCGTAATGCATGTTCGTATTGTTCTGTAGCTGTGTACAATTCAGCCAATGCTTCCATCAAATACATAGTCTCCACACTCACACGTTCAGCATGAGCTTCAGCTATTCGACGACGCCGTACGACTGTCTCTAATTGATTAATCCACTTTTGAGCATCGTATAAAGGTTCAAAGACGTGCAATGTCTCAATATACTCCGGTGCAATTGCAGATTCATTTGTAGTGTTTTGTACTCCGGTATCTTGTCGCCTTGGCTTAGGCCACTTTCGAATGAGTTCGAGGAGTTGACCGGGATCTGAATCTAAAAAGTGTTTTAATACCATTTCATACTGCTCTTGAGGTAGGCGTGGACTTGCAGTTGGTATGTATCGAGCAATTGTACTTAATTGTCCACGCTGTGCGTACAAATACACGTATTTCTCCCATAGTTTTGCATATTCTTCACCATCGAGAAAAAGTCGAGAGATCTCTTCTGCACCTTTCGAAAAGAGATTTTGACGTAGTAAATCGCTGAGATACATTTCAATCACATCCACCAGAGCAACGCGTCGTAAAGCACGAGGATCATGAAGTGCTATTTCAAGAGCTCGACTGTATTCCTTACGTGCCAGTGCCCATTGCACACGATCATCAACGTCGCGTAAACGACAAATGACAACATCTTTAGGGGTACAAACATACGCTAGCTGACCGTACCCTGCGTCATAGATTGATGATTCATCAAGTGAGTCTAACTCAAATGCTGGGGGACGAGCGTAACGAAGTGTTGGCATCATATAATCGGACGCACGGAGACGTTGGTATCCTTTTAAGTTTAATAAATCGGCACTCACTTGCTTCCCATCTAGTCGTACAACATGAACTTCAGGATATGGCATTTCTCCATTCTCTCCTTCTCCATCAATTCGTGCCGACTTTCCATTTGAGTTTGCAAGTCCAGAAGACGATCCCGAACCTGGTGGTCGAAATGCCAACACTGATACAATAGAAGCCCCACCCCATGGACTTAAACCTGCTACAAAGAAGTCAAACGTGAGTAAAGCAACAACTTCTGCTGTAATACCACTCGACTGATGTTCAATAGTATCTATTGCCATCGTAGAAGTTGGAGACGATTCAACACTTTGCCCTCTTTTAAACGTTACAACACGCAATGTATGTGCCCATGCTACAAGCAAAATGTCTGTATTTTGCCACTCCAAATGACATTTACAAAGCTCCATAGGTGGACAACTTGATGGTCGTTCGATAAATGTCACTCGCTGATCTTGTTCCGAGTCATATACTTTCACGCCCCAATCGTTTGCCCACGCTACTAATCCATCTTTCCATCGAATTAATTGAACAGGACCTTCACCTTCGTGAATCGTACTCTCTTTATCAATAATCCATCCTTTTTTATTCATCACGACTTGACCACTAATACCACCACAAGCAAAACACTTTTCGCGTTTCATAGCATACCGATCTTCCAATTCCACAGCGTAAATTGCACTAAAGTAATTGTAAATGTTCACTTCACCTCCAGTATTTGAGATGTCATCTTGTCGTACAATAATATTGTGTGTATTGCGATCATGTTTGTGACCAATAAGTTCAGTATTATTGGATGATTGAGATAGTGGAAAGAGTGTGTATACTGCCACAGTGCCATCATCCGAACAAGAAGCAATAAACTATAAAAACAATATAGTAGTTAAGATGATCACATCAATATAGTATAAAGTATACAAAAATAGTACTTGGCCTGTTTCGTCGATGCAAATGTGATTGACTTTTTTGTAATGTTGGTGCAGACGACGAATAAATCGGCCGTTGAGCTCCAGAAGGAGCACATTACCTCCGTAAGTTCCAGCACATACAAAATTTACGTGAAGTGCAATACAACTGAGAGAATCATCTTTAAAGATAGCAAGGAAATGGCCACCCACGCGCTCATACTTGAGCAGTGGCTCTGATGGCGTCTGTGGCTCCTGAAGTGCAGAATGTGATTAGATTGTAATATCGTTTTTATACAATGCTGTGGTTCCTATTAAAGTGAAAAAATATTATTAAGTTGGATGAATGACATGCTTACCTTGGTGTCCTGATCGTCACTTTCGGGTAAGGTTAGCGACATGATAGCAATTGATCTCGATGCAAATCTACATCAAAGACGACAGTAAAATCAGCCTTATTGGGAGTTTCTGTTTTAGCCAATCATTGAGTAGAATATGGTCTAATTATCATCCGTAATTTATTAGAGGTCCTGAAGTCTGTCATATAAGTCTCAAATTATGAGGTTTTTCTGATCCATACCTACTCGAGTATGCTTTCCTTTAAGTAATCACGCTCATTAAACTTCTTATGATTATAGCTGTCGTGAAATATATGCAAATAGATTTTGAATCATTTCGTTTAAAGGTGAAGCCTTTGGTTGCTCTTACTTCGCTAAAGATGAGGCGCACCTAATGTCAGAGAAATGGGAGCTGATCATTGGTGAAGGGCAAATCTCGCAAATTAATGAGCAGCTAGGGCTTAAAGCAATTGCTTATATAATCAGTGATTTGAAGCTGATGCAAATTGTCAAGGAATCAAGATCGAGGGATATTTTGTCGGAGTAACGATTATCAATAAATTTGCGTTAATGTGTTACGGCATCCAGCACATGTTTTTGTCTGCAGGCATGTGGGATAAAGATGATGAACATGGACTGTTGCTCGAGGAAAAGACTGTGTATGGATACCGCTGAGTCTGAAAGAAATCTACGATGGACTACTTCGAGAATTCTGCGCGCTGGTGAAACCTTCAGCCTTCATGATCTCGTTATCGAGGTATCCGCTATTAAGGTGCAACAGATGAAACCAAAATGTAAAAGGGTTACGCTGTTGTTCTTTGATTTGAAAGACTGGGTATAGATAGTACTATCAACTATGACCGTTGCGAATGAACGTGTTTTAGTGCAGTGTTGAAGCACAGTGACGTAGTACTTGTTACGAGGTCGATAAACCTGGTAGCTTTTATTGTCTTTTCCAAGACTTATTTCTGAAAGGACTGTACGATTCGCGAGGACGAAAAATGACATGTTCACCTATGATACCATGGGTTTACAAGAAACGAACAATAAACGCCTGTCATCAGTTGGTCCCGAAGGGGTAGCACAACTAGCAGTTACGCAGTTGCCGCTCGCCTGAAACATCAAAATGCGCAAGTGAATACCCTCCAGAGTATCTTTCAGACGTCGATAGAAAAAAATTCGGCCTATTCCATAGCTCTATATAGCATCGCTGTTGTTAAGTGTCAAACATTTCAAGGCAAAGAAAGAGAAGCTCCTTCTCTGGACACGCGAGGTCGAAATGACCATGAACTTGATCCTACACAAAGCACACTTTATCGCGCTAGCAATACCAAAGCTGGCGAGGCGTGCGCATGAACGAACGCCAACGTGCGGTCTCTCGATATACGAGAAATGCTCAACACAGGAGGCATATAGCGAAGGATGTAGCGAGTCTTTGCACCGACCTACCATGCTTGTCGCTTGCAGTTATGCTCTGATCTATCGGTAAGGTAAGCAAAACAAATCGAAGAATCACAGGAGCTATCAGGTATGTCCGCGAAGTAATTTTCAAAATCGGAAACAGTTACTCGATTTTAGAGGGTATCTGTATCGTTGTGGTTGGTCACAATACCTTAAGCACACATGGTGTGGCTACACTTAAACAAGTAGTCAGTACGTGGCAGGTGTAATACATTTTTACGGTATAGGATAGGCGGCTTTGCCGCAAATAAAATTGAGAGCTGGTAATCCTCTTGGAGTAAGCGGATCGCGATCCGCTACACTCGTACTGGTTCTAAGTATAGAACGAAGGTCACCGACCTTGATCAAGTTTTCTCTGAGCGAAATAGCTACGGCAGCCCCGCTGCACTTGGTAGCACTTGTAGTCAATCGACACCTGAGTCGTTTAGACTGATCCTCTGTGAGGATGGAACAATTTTCCCCTTTGCGTTAGGGCATGCAGGACGGGCTTAAAAAGCCGATGTCCTTGCTGGGCCCAGAGGGCGTGCATCACTTTGCTGCGCAAGGCCCCGAGGCAATCGGTGCGTGTCTAGATGCGTTTTCAAATTACGAAACGCGCTGCTAGAGCACCAGCAGCAGAAGATGTCTGCTTCATCTGCGTATATGACGCCACCGCCAGTAACGGATGACTTCCCCCGCCCTAAGCCGCTCATGGTGAGCGTTAAGGTCTTTGAGGGGAAGGATGGAGAGAATCTCCTGCTCTGGGTGAGAGAGGTCGAAATGGCCATCGCATCCGCCATGCTAGACCGAGCAACAACGCGTGAGGCTAGTCATCTCAACGCTCGGTGGTCGAGCGCGAGAATGGGCACTGACGTACGGCACTTCGGTCGAAGCTGCG